TATGAATCTAATAAAAACTCAATTTTCAAAAAAATGTAAAAATGGGCTGTTTCTATTGTCCGCACCCCATATAATCTTTTGTAAAAACTTGCGCAACCAGGCCGAAACTGAGAAATTTAAAATATGTTAAAGATATAATAAAGCGTGCCAAACTTTTAAAAAACAGCTTTGTGATTTGCACTATCAAAAATTATAAAATCTAGAAGTATCAAGTAGGTGCAGGCTAAAATTGTTTTATCAAATTTTCTATAATGGACGATAGTACATAGTTTATCTCCCGCTTTAGACGACCTCCAAAATGTGCAAAACGCATAATTAAATCCAAATGAATAAATGATTTTGAAAAAGTAAGATTTTCTTATATGTTTCAATAACATTTCTCCTAAAAATATCAACTAATACCTTATAGTTTTAATATTTCCTAAGAGGGTTGCATTTAATTTTTTGTTTAATATGGAGATATTATAGTAAACATATTGTTAAATCATTATGTAATATTGGGATTCCACCGATATTGAGCAACGGGCAATTCAGCACCATCTGCAAAATATTTTAAAGTTTCACCCTCGAGACATCTTTCACTGTAGTTAGTATATAACTTTAATTTTTTAAGTTTCTTATTATTTTTCACCAATCTTCTCAAATCTTCTAATTGCAAAGGTGCTCTTTCTAAAATTACGTCCAAAATCATTTCTTCTAATGTAGTAATGTATAATGATAATAGGTGGATTAAATACACGGGTGATAAATCACATAGTTGTATAGTTAGTTTACGAATTGGTGACATAATTTGATTAATGTCACAAGCGGAAATATTGGAATTATGTAAGTCTTGTAAAATTTGGAATGGTTCGACAAGTGATGATTCTCTGCAATATTCTAGAGAAATTTCGGTCAAATTGGAACAATGTGTAAGAAGATATCCTAATGTGAGTTTATCAATTCTAAATGTTGCATCGTGAGTTGATGATATATCTATCCTTTGGATATATCTGTGATATGTTAGGTTAAATGAGTTGGTTTTCTCGGCTGACGAAAATAAAGTTCTCTTAATAAGACTCCAACGTAAAGGTGTTTGTTCATAATTTTTCCAGTATTTATCGCCTAAATCTCTCCAAACCAAGGGGATTGCAATATGTAATAATATGGAATTTTGGTATAAACAATTACGTAAATCGTGCCAACCAAGATATGAAAAAATTTCTTGCAGTAATTCTACCGGAAGCGTTAAAAGTGTTTGTCGTTGAAAGGAGTGTTTATGATTAGGTGACATCTTTTGTGAATAGTAAAAGGTGAATATGAAAGAAAGACTGTACTGTACGTATTACAGTATTAATGGTATTAATGTACGGAAGTTCTATTTGATTGGTCGCCAATATGCAAACTGAATAGCATAGCTGGCTTTAATTCTGATTGGTCAATCACTCGATTTTGACTAAGACCCTAGCGTTGTTAATGGAGTAGCTTACTCCGGAGCACTCCGGAGTAGAACCCAACCCAAATTCGAGTGGGTTTAAAATTATGCCTTTAAATTTGGAGCAACCTGGAACAACCCGGAGTACTATAGAGCAACCCGGAGCAAAACATTGAAGTAGGTCTAATTTAGTGAAGATTGGGTCAACCCAAACCAACCCAACCCAACCCAACCCATTAACAACCCTAATATTAAGGTTAGGTTTTGCTATTAAGTTTGTTAAAGAAAGTTTTTCTAATATCAAAATTTCGCAAGGAAAACTTTTTGTTAATGCGCAGAAAGTAGTTTCATAAGTAAAATGTTGAGTTATGAATGATTTTTTGGTTTGTTTTGATTTTTTGTGTTTTTTTTGTATTATACCGGATCTAGAATTCTGATTGACTGGTGAAATAGTAGCGAAATTTTTTAGGGTGGTGATTAGTATTCCGCAGAACCGAACCGAAACCCAGAATCGAACCGAGAACCGGCCCATCAGGTCGAGTCCGGTCCCATGATTTTAGAACCGCCTGGTTTCGGTTCTCAGAGGCGGGTACCCAGTAGACCCACATAGACCCGCATAAATTATCACCTGACTATAATGAATAAAATTTTAAAGTATCAATACATAATTGATCTTGTATTC